ATTCCTGTAGGCTGTGCACTGATCACTTAGAAGAGAGAAACAAAGAGAAAGAGTAAATGACGAGCCTCCAGAGTTTTATCGTTTCTAATTATAAATTGTGTTGGTAAAAGATCAACTTGATGTCCTCGGCATTATTCCTGCTAACATGAAACAATTTTGAGGAAAATCAGTACATTTTCTTTTATGAAGTCCCAAATCCAAAGAATCGTGGGAACAGAAAGCTTACCCAGAATCTATGCTCAGTAAGTCAACACTTAGGCCTAGCTCTGCTGGGAGAAACATCAGGACTCATCTACAGAGTACGGAAGAACACCGATTGGTTTATTTACGTTAGCCATGCTACTCCTGTGCTGAGACATTCTTGGTGTTCTCAGTGATTGATTTTCTTTTTGTTGAAGGAGTTAACGTATTCTACATGTTCCCGCGAGCCTAATTTTCCCAAGAGGAAATGGTGAATAAGTATCTTTACTAGTAGTGATTGAGGCTTAGAGACTGCTGATTGGGGGTGGGAAGGTAGGTAACAACCAACAAGCACACACACACACACACACACACACACACACACACACACCCTGTCCCACTGTGCTGGAGGAGGTGAAGACTGGAACAAAGAAACACAGTCCTTGACATTCAGGTTCTAGGCAGTAAATTCTGACAACGTACATTACAAACTCAGATGTCTCATTGTTCCCACATCGTCCGCCTTCATCACATATGTGAAATGGTCAGTACACACCTATAGATTTACTTTTAGAAATGTTCACGAGTTTAAACAGAAAAATAGCCCTGATGTTCTTGCGTGTCGTCTTCAAAGCTTGCTCCATGATAAATCGGATTGGCAGCTGCCTCCCTTGATCTGAGTTGTAGCTTTGCACAGTTTCAGTTACCCGGGATCAAGTAATGTTTTGAGAGAGAGCCCATATTCACATCACTTTTCTTACAGTCTATGGTTATAATAATTTTATTATTAGTTATTTTTGTTAATCTCTTACTGTGCTTAACTAACAAACTAAACTTTATCACAAGTCCACATGTATAGAAAAAAATAGTGTCTTTGGGCTCAATATCACGTACACTTCTAGGCACTCGCTGGGGGTCTTAGACTATATGCTCTGCGGATAAGGGGAAACTGCTTTATTTCTGCCTCTTCAGAATGTTTCTCAGGTCTGATATCCAAAATAAACATGGCCTGCAGATTTTTTAAATCAATTCTGGTTTTGAAAATAAAAATTACATTCATAGTAGAAAAAAGTGAACGTGTACTCATTTACTTTCCCCTCTTTTTTCCCCAAGGCAAAATACAAAGGCACCAGTAAGGCCAACCTTTCCAACTCTCTTTATAAGCGGATGCCAGCCACAATTGACAGCGTTTTTGCAAGAGAGGTTACTCAGCTTCAGAGTGAGGTATGGTTTTCCTAAATTATTACATAATTATGTAGTTCAAAAATATAACCTCCTGTAAGTTATTTTGCATTTTAATGAAAGTTGTTTAATCTCGGGTGTTAAATTCTGAATGAGAGTTTAAAGCCACTGGTTTTCATGTTATCAGTGATTACTGGTGAAATCTCAGAAAATGCAAGGGTATGTAAGCTTATGTCAGTCACTTGATGCTGTATTTCTGAATCTTATTCACCACTATTTATAGAGCAACTTTTAATCTCATCTAGACAGCTCATTTTCATGGGATTCCTGTATCAGATATTAAACTATTCTGATTCAACATAGCATTCCTAAGTGGGAAAGTTTTCAATATCTTATCAACAGTCATGTAAAGAGTTGATTGTAGAATTTCAGATCCCCAGGTCTGTGCTCTGTCAGTGAAACAAGTGGTTCCTGAATTTCCTCTTCTGTGGGTTGTGTAATATCTCAGGCTACCCAAAGTGGCCTCTGTCAGGTGGAAGTACCTGTTTTAGTGATTGCCAAGCTGCAGACAACTGAAACAACTTGTCATTGCGTACACTCATTTTGAAAGCAGAAGCGTCTAGGTATAATTTCCCCCTGACAGTGTATCAACACATAAGGCATTCTGAATGTACCTAATCTATTGCATTTCTTAAAACGATTTCAAAATAGAGTATCTCACCTCTTTCTGTCTCATTATTTCGTTTTCTTCATAGCACAATCTGATTTTTCGCTGGCACTTTACTAGTGAGTTACTTGGCTTCTAAGCTATAGGAGAGCAGGAGCGTCATCTATATAACTACCTATCTTTTTTTTTTAACTTGCTACATGGTACGTGCACTCATCAGACACACACACACACACACACACACACACACACACACACACACAGAAAAAGAGAGCGAGAGAGAGGGAAAGCTAGAAAACACCATGGCGTAATCCTTTCTTTTCCATTCACCTCTCTGGCTCTTGGGCATGCATGCTCTTGTACCCAGTGCATTTTCCAAGGCTCTGGGTCTGGGCCTCAGACTGCACAGTCAGCCATGTGGAAGTCAGTCATCTTAACCACCACACCACCAGCTGGCTCAGTCTGTCTGATTTCATGATCAATTCCTGTATTTGGAATGTTCAGTGAATACGTGTAAAATGAGTTTTTGTTGAACTTGTTGATTTTCTTCCTTGGAGTATGCTTCCTTTTATGTAGTTTCTCTCCTTGTCACATTGTAGGAATAACAGTAATAATTATACACGTACAGAAGGGCTGTGTGTCAGGTGCCCTTCGCTACATTTTACATCTGTTTCTGTCGCTTAATCCTCACAACGATTTCCATTTTAGAGATGTGGAATCCGAAGCACCGAGAGTTTAAGAAACGTGTCCCGGGTCACACAGACAGTAAATGGCAGAGCCAGCACAGAGATGTGGGTAGTCGTGCTCCCAAGTGTGGGCGGGATCTTAACCATGCACTATCTCTACCACCCTTTCCTACCATTTCCATTCCTCTTTTTCTTGTTAAACAAGCTTTCTTCTTCCCTCACAACCTTTATTACCTAGAGAATGCCTCGATAATTTTAAATAATCTGAAAATAGAGTGCTCTTGAGAAATACTGAGCAGTTACCCTATGCAGAACATCCTGGAGTACTTCGTTTATCAGAAATGTAAACACCCACTGTGGAGCGACCTGGTGGTAAGCTGATCTCAGCGATGCAACCTGAGGCTAAAAATATATGATGTCAAGTTCTGCAGGGCTGCCCATGGCTAATATGGCCTTTATTTTACTGCCAACATCTGGTCACCTAGCAGCTCCTTGCTGATGATATGGGCTACTTTAAAAAGCAAATAATTACAACGCTTGATATGTGATAAGCAACAATTATGCAATAAAGAAAGAAAAGAGAAAAAGCTCTATCCTTTCAGATTTACTTGGGAAGACAATATTTTCAGATGTATATAATACATCCTCATTTCTTAGGAAGTGCACACTTGTCGCCTTTACCTCTTTGAAGCATAAAGAAGTCGATCGTGTGCAAACACGCTCAATGTAGAACTTAACGGAACATAATCCACACTGTCAGTTTTGGAATTGTGTGTGTGTGTGTTAGACGAGGTATCACTTACACGGTTAGCACTTGTTACCTACCCTAGGCAGACACACTGGGAAAAATATGTGTGTGCACTCTCAGCAGTGCTTTTCAGTGTAATTAGTCACTGATCTTGTTAGTGAGGAAAAAACATGAATCTTGAAGTAATGTTTGTTTACATGAACATACATTCGATTTATTACTCTTAAAATTCCGATTCTCAGACCGGCCCACGGCCAGGGTTAAGGTGGCTGAATCCTGCATTGCTGACTGTGTGGTTCGAGTCCTGGACCTGGTAGCTTGAGAAATTGTGCTGGGCACATGTGCATGGGTGTCCAAAGTCCCCAAAGAAGGGCAAAATGAGGAGAATGGATTACAATGTGGCTGTTCTCCCGTAGGGGTGGAAGGTGCTTTCCTGCTTTCCTTCTCTTTCTCTCTGTCTCTGTCCAGGGAGTGCATACATCCTCTGACAAATTTTAAAAAAGATTGTGATTCTTAGAGCTTACTTGGTAATAAGAGAGGCGAGGATATAGAAGAATTATTATATTTGACAGTGTCTCTGAAAATGAAACCACTTAACTTTTTACTGTGTCCAAATAGTATCAGATAGTGGTAACTAAAATTAGAGTATGTGACAAAGTCTGAAGTTTGATGTTGTTCTAATGAAAAGTCTCCTAAACTTTTGATGGACTGTTAAAACAAACTCTTACCTTAAAGTCAAGTTGCAGTTATTCTCAGATTAAATTTAAACTAGAGTGATAGGTGTAGTTAAACTACATTTATACTTTATTATCAGAAATGGTTGAGGGACCAGCAGTTAGCATAATGGCTATGTTGCTGGACTCCCATGTAGTCAACTACAGTTCGAGTCCCGGGCCCGGTGGCTTAAAACTCACACTGGGCGTGTGTGCATGCGTGACCAAGACCCCTAGAGGAGAATGGAGGAGAAGGGATTGCAGTGTGGCCATCCCCCCTGGGGGTGATTTCTCGCTGTCTATCTCTGTCTCTCTCTCTTGTTTTTCTGGTGAGTGCACGTACCCTATAGCAAAAAAAACCTCTCAAAAAAAAAAAAGAAAGAAAGAAATGGTTGATTGGAAGAAATGCTTTAAAGGAGAGCGATGTGGTGTAAACTACGGTTCTACTGCTTGGAGGATGAGATCACATGACAGGGAGATCCAGGTTTAGTTCCCAGCTGCATCTAAACAAGCCAGGGGCAGTAATGCAGCCCAGCGTCCTAGCTATTGGAGGAGCTGGGACAGGAGGATCATGGCGTGGTGAGACCTGGTCAAATCTCTCTCTTTCTCACTCACTCATTTAATAAGTAAGGAAATAAAGAGTGAGACCTGGAGTTTTTCAGATACCATTTTATTAGCTCTTTACTATTAGACATTTTGTAAACAAAGACCACAGGATAAAGCTTTTGAAGATGGACAGGACTGAGCAATGAAGTGGTGGGATCCTTCTCATCACAGCTGTTACGGGCCAAAGCTAAGTCATCCTTTAGCACAGAGGTAGCACAGGCTACTCTGCGTTTCCACTGAGGAATGCTGAGAGTCTGTGTTGTCTTTATGGTGGCCTTGGGGTCCTGTTTCAGGTGTTCAGAGGTGTCTTTGCAATGGGATTCAAAACTCATTTACCAGTATAGTACTTGTCAAATGTGCTGTAAGTTAAAACTATATTACATATATGTCCAGGCCATAAGATCAAACCTGTAAGTGCATACATTCCTTATATAAATGTATTTACATGTGAGTGTGTAAGACCATTGCAAATACCCTCTAGTCTTTAGGTGTCCAGTACCAGAGTAATCTTAATTCTTAAAGGGTGAAGAAAATAATATTATTCTAGGGAAATGCCACACATTAATGACACATCCCAAGAAATCAAATTTATCAGAAAATTTATTAGTTTGATGTAATTTTCCATTAGCTATTTTAAGGAAGGAAATTAATATGATAAAATTCAGCTGCCTTCAGTTTGATGTAATCTTAATTCTAAAGTGGTTCTTAGTAGCAGCTATAAATGAAATGACTATTTTAATGCTGCAAGTAGAAAATTACATAGCCTTTTTAAGAAGGAGTGCTTTTCAAAATTGTGCTCCATGACTCACCATTTCTCTGATAACCCACAGAATCGTCAGCTGTGTGGGTTACATTTAGGAAGTCGCAGGAGTGATCATTGGTCTAAAATACAAACCGTACCCAGGCATCCATCAAAAAGGAGATAGACATGTGCTACTCCTTTTTATTTCTCTAAGAAGAAATAAATCTCATGGAAGATTTTCCTTGGCGTTATAGATTGGCCAGCCATTAAGTCCCCCTTCCTCCCCTCAGAGTTATAATATACAGTATAATGGAACTGAGATAAGAGATTTCCTCAACCTGAATGATGGAGGTTCTTAAGGAGTTTTCTATTTAACATAATTTAATTGGTGAGAATGTAAAGCTATGCTCATGAGAATTAGACATTTTGGGGACTAAATGGATGGACAGTCATCATCTATGCTATTTATCACTGCACCCACCCTAGCCCTGAGTTTAGCATTATCTATGTGAATCTTCTTACCAATACCTGACCACTTAATTAACCTTAATGTAGGTATTCTATTTATTCTATTTTGCTACCTGTAGCCTGGTCGTATATTCAATTGTATGATCAGGATGAGCTTCAAATTCTAAATATGCCTTAATTGGAGCCCTACGGGCCATTGCTCAGATGATTTCATAAGTAACTCTGGCCATTATTTTATTATCCGTCTTCCTAATAAGTGGATCAAAGTCTCACAAGATGAATTATACCTGGAATCGTGTGAGGTGCTACATTAGAGTCCTGGAATCAAACCAAGTACACGGGATTGGATGTAGGAACATCATATAGGCTGTAGGATGCGGTAAGACTGCATTGGCTGACAGAAATCTCAGCGTAGCCATCACAGAGGAAATGGTGTGACCTACGGATGCCTTGATAGCATTTAGCATGAGGGCAGTGATAACCTGGACTAAACTGAACAATGCCAGTCAATACTGGCCAGACCGCTTAAGGATGGACAAATTAGGATTAGGTCTGAAGACTGCATGTTGGGTGTTCAGGAATTCAGACCTTTCATCCAGTCAGAGAGTTGAGGAAGAGAAGTCACTGACAGCTTCTTCCCACACTCGAAGTTCTGTGTTGTCAACCAGGATCTTTCCATACGGCCACATGGGTGTCTGTGGGAGATAGACTGGGGCTTGATTATAGATAGAACTTTCATTCAGAGCTCTCAAAATTTGGAGACAGTGATGTCTCAGATTTTCTCTTTCTGTAGGAGCTTTTAAGAAAAACTAGGTGGGAAATCAGAGAGGTGATTTGAACAGTCATATTTGTACAGTATACATTTTGTATTTTTACACAGGATGATGAGATTCGGTGATTTTTTTGTAAAAATTTGTTTTATATTATCACTTTATTCCTTCAGATAATTGTATTATATGTGTTAAATGGGTGACTAATTTTGTTTATAGAATCCTATGTGGAATTTAAATTCATAAGCATATTTAATAAACTCATTTATTCATCCATTCACTAAGTATTTATTGCATTTCTCCTCCGTGTCATTCACTATAATGGGCACAAGATATTAAAAGATATATAAGATACACACAGAGCTCTCAAGGAGTTCACATGGATAAAAAATTTAAGTTTAGCTATATCCTTTTATTAAAAAAAACACAACTATATCCTTTTACATTGAAAACTAGATCTTGTTTTGTTCTTGGCAAAGGTCATTTAGTTTTTCTAAGTTGCCTTTTTCCTCTTGTGCCAAGTAATTCCAACTCCATTTAACATCCTTTTATTATTAAACTTACTATATTTAAAAATGTATCTTACTTTTTCTTTCATTTCTTATTGTTCTATTAGCATTCATTCAGTTATTCATTCATTTGTTCATTATTTGTTTATTAGCTATTCACTATTAAACATTTTATAAACAAAGAACACACAAAAATAGCTGTTGAAGGGAACCAGCAGTTAGCGTAATGGCTATGTTGCTGGACTCCCACGTAGTCAACTGCGGTTCACGTCCTAGACCCGGTGGCTTAAAACTCATGCCAGGCGTGTGTGCGTGCGTGCCCAAGATCCCGAGAGGAGAAGGGAGGAGAAGGGATTGTGGCGTGACCACCCCCCCGGGGGGTGATTTCTTGCTTTCTGTCTCTCTGTCTCTCTCTGTCTGGCGAGCGCATGCACCCTATAGTGAAAACTTCCCCCCCCCAAAAAAAAGCTGTTGAAAATGGAATGGGCTGTGCTGCGGAATGGTGAGACCCTTGTCATCATCATTCACCCAGTAATGCATTCATTCGCTTATTTGTTTACTGAGCAAATACTCACTACTGCTAATTTTGTGCCAGGCACTATTCTGTTTCTGAGGATTCAGTGAACTGGACAGTTATGTGCTAGTACAGGAAGACAGACCGTAACTAATCATGCAGGAATTCCTTAATGAAAAATGGGGAAGTAAATAAATAGGATAATAGTATCAGCTGGATAAAGAGATGACTTGGTTGCTGTCTTCTGGATCTTTTAAAATTTCTAACTTTAGTGTTGAGTTTGGTTATACCTGTTTCTAAGGTATCCTTCTCAAGCCTTTGTTTTTCCCACTATGGAGCATATTTTACGTGATGGTAATGATGGTATTGATACGACGTTCATTTGAGCTCTGGAGGACAAGGCTAGACATGCCTGAGAATGTCACCTGCATGTTATATTTTCTTGTTAAGGTTTGGGCATGTAATTAAGTTTATATTCTATTACAGTTATGTAAACAAACAAGCCTATTCATTTAAAAGTTAACAATTTACTTTTAAATATCCTACCATTGTTCCCCCTCCCCCCCCAGTCAGTTATTTTATACAGATTTAAAACTTGAACATTTGGAACCCTGAGAGCTCTTAGGTGTGGGTCAAGGACATTTTGAAGTGAATCACAAAGAGTTTGAGTCAGGAGTCTTAATGAAGCACTAAGAATAAAACATGGGTATTGTCTTGTTACAGAGTTTAGGCAAATGTAACTATTGGTGGTAGTCAAATACCTAAAATTGTACCCAAGCAATAATCTTTAATAGGTAAGAATTTCCTGCCTCTCTAAATGGAACTGACGATTATTTGTGTTTCTCAGGTTGCCTACAAGCAGAAACATGATGCTGCCAAAGGATTCTCAGACTATGCCCATATGATGGAGCCACCGGAGGTCAAGCATGCCATGGAGGTCAATAAATACCAGAGTAATGTAAGGAAACTCTTTCTTCATGACTTTCTAGAAAATTGATGGTGACCCACATCAGGACTCATGATAGTTTTGTTGCAATTCAAATATTACAACACTCCTGTTCCAGATGGACTTTTCTGTTTCTCATCGGTCAGAGGTACATCTGAATTGCTCTGTTGACAGGAACTAAGCCTTGTTGAATGCTCTAAATTATCAGGCATTGGAAATTTTACCTTGTGCCAGATGAATATGGATCTATTGGACTTATTGGGCTATTAGTATTTCTAGAACTTCTTTGACTGGATGCTGAAGCTTGGGGATCTAGTCTAGAATCACAGAAGAACTAGAAGAAAGACATCAGAAATCAGTGGCCCATGCAAGGGCCAGATTGTCAAACACTAGCCAGATTTCCCTCTACTGTTTCATTTAGAGTGCTTGCGGGGAGCAGTTGTCAAACGTAAAACCCATGGGTAATATGAAAGCAGCAGATGCTTCATGGCTGACTTAGGCGCAGAAGCCAAGGGGGAGGAAGTGAGCCTGTAGAAAACGAGTTCCTTTAGTTGTAAGTTACCAGCTACATCAAAGCTTTCATGTATTTGCTCAATTTCCACCCCTACCCTGGTGGCTAAGAAGAATTTCTTTCTAAAATGGTAGGGGAGTTTATTTGTCTTTTCATCATGGATTTTCCCATCTCTACATGGAATGTATAAACTATTTGCCAGGTTCTTAACGAGTTAGAATCAGATGGAGTGTCTGTCCTAGCTGGGTCAACAAACCCTCTTTGTGGGAAAGTGCCTAATGCCTCTTTGCCATCTCGCCCAGAGACTGCCCCAGCACCTGGTTCTCTGACTACACGGTGCTTTGTAGACTGTCCCCTGAGCCCAGCTGTGCAGTGTCTCTGCAGGAAGGCAACAGTTATTTGATATCAAATGGCAATAGGTCAATGTCTAAGTAAAAACCCATTGAGGTTTTACATTTTAACCCAAATGCATGGGCCAATAGCAAAGCCTTTGCTAAGACGGTTTTAAGATGGATAGGAGATGAAGAAGCTAAGTGCCTGTAATTATTAGCAGGGCTATTTTAAGGGGATGTTTTATAAGCACTGTTTGCTTACAGAATGGCTATAATAATCATAATCACTACCTCTCACTGAGCACAGCCATGCACCCGGGACTGTGCCAAGACTTTGATCATTTCCAATTCTCACAAAAATCCTGCAGTACTGGCCATTTTGTAGAGGAGGAAAATGAGACTTTGGAACCAAACTCCCAAGTCTGCTATTTCTGCTATCTCCTGCCTGCCTCCCTCTTCAAGGTCACTGGAGATTAGTCAAGCATTTAAATAAAGTTTGAAGAATAGGGAGAAAAATAGGTTATTATTAGAATTCAGATGCATTGTAGGAAAGCATAACAGACACTCTGAGTTGCCACCGTTTTGATGCTGAAGAGACTGAATTCAAGCAAAAGGCCACAGGTTAGAGGTGGGCTGGTGGTCTGGGTAGGGGCTGGTGTTACATGGGTCCCCAGGAGGCCCTTTTTAACTCAATAATTCAATGAAATTCAAATACGGAAGTTCCTTATCATAGAACGGGGCTTATTATTTTAACTTTGCCTTTTCTTGTAAAAGGTCTTTGATTGAGGGATTGAGGGAATAGAGTATAAAGCCCTTTTCTCCTCCATTCAATACTGTGTACTTATGGGAGAAGGATATGTTTACTTATACTCCTCTGCCGACTGGCTCAACCTTTACATGCAAAGTTTGTACATATAATAGGATTTAGAAAGTGTTTAAGACTATTTACTCAGACTTAAAGTGAGAATGATATTTGTATTCTACCTGTGAAGTAGTTGATATCCCTCTAGAGTCAAGCCACTTAGAATAATATATTCATTGTCCCTACAATATGAAATTTAAACATAGGTCTTAAAAGCCACAGAAACGCTAGTATATTGCTTGGTTCAGCGAATAGAACTAGAGAATCTCTGGAAAAGACAAAAACCCTGTCTCCCACAAAACTTTAACCCAGTGAAACTCATTGCAGAGAATTTACCAGTAGAATTGCTATTTCATGACATGGAATGCCACTTTTGCACGATGCTATAGATGACTTAATCTAATTTAAAATAACAAATATGTCATCAGGGGACCAGCAGTTATCGTAGTGGCTATGTCGCTGGACTCCCATGTAGTCGCCCGCAGTTTGAGTCCCGGACCCGGTGGCTTAAACTCACGCTGGGCCCGTGTGCATGCATGCCCGAGATCCTGAGAGGAGAATGGAGGAGAAGGGATTGTGGCGTGGCCATCCCCCCTGGGGAGGGATTTCTCGCTTTCTATCTCTCTGTCTCTCTGTCTGGCGAGCGCACACGCCTCTCCAAAAAAGAAAAAAGTCATCACACATGACTCTGATTTATTTAAACAGTTAAAACAGTGAAAGTCATTTGCTTACCATCTTTTGTGTTTTCTCCAAAATCATGTTAACTTTCTAATATCTGAGAGAACCAAGAGATTGGGCAATTGGAGTTCCGATCTTTTCATTTCTGCCTCCGTTTGCTTAAGCCTTTTATTAGAATGACCGTCAGTGGGCCAGAGGAAATGGTTTTACTTGTGGAATCTTTCTCTCCTGTATACTTTCAGCAACGTGAATAAGCCAAAGAGTATGGGGAAGGGATTCTTTATGACCATCCCGCTGAATTCTCACCTCTGCATAACCGAGAGGGCCAAGGGCAGTAGTCTTTTGCAAAACTCCTCGCTGGACTCCCATGTAGTCGCCCGCAGTTTGAGTCCCGGACCCGGTGGCTTAAACTCACGCTGGGCCCGTGTGCATGCATGCCCGAGATCCTGAGAGGAGAATGGAGGAGAAGGGATTGTGGCGTGGCCATCCCCCCTGGGGAGGGATTTCTCGCTTTCTATCTCTCTGTCTCTCTGTCTGGCGAGCGCACACGCCTCTCCAAAAAAGAAAAAAGTCATCACACATGACTCTGATTTATTTAAACAGTTAAAACAGTGAAAGTCATTTGCTTACCATCTTTTGTGTTTTCTCCAAAATCATGTTAACTTTCTAATATCTGAGAGAACCAAGAGATTGGGCAATTGGAGTTCCGATCTTTTCATTTCTGCCTCCGTTTGCTTAAGCCTTTTATTAGAATGACCGTCAGTGGGCCAGAGGAAATGGTTTTACTTGTGGAATCTTTCTCTCCTGTATACTTTCAGCAACGTGAATAAGCCAAAGAGTATGGGGAAGGGATTCTTTATGACCATCCCGCTGAATTCTCACCTCTGCATAACCGAGAGGGCCAAGGGCAGTAGTCTTTTGCAAAACTCCAACTTAAAGCCCCTCAAACAAAAACCAAGTTATTTCTCAGCATATCCCCCACTATAGTACATACTTGAAAATGAATTTGGAGTCGGTCCAGGGATACAGTGTTGGCTTCACCATGTGTTGTCTGACTAGCCTTGGACAACTTACTTAATATCTCCAAATTCCATTTTTGCCCATCTGTCAAATCAGGACACAGTGTTAAATGAGATGATATATAAAGGGCTTTATAGAAGAATCAATTAATAAAATAGTAGGCCTTTTTGATTCTTCTTTAGATTTTAAAGGGTAGTTTGAGAGTTGAGGGTGATATCATAGTTGATTCAAAATAATTAGAAGAGGTTCGATTTTAGAAAGGGCCAAATCAATATAAAATATATATTAAGAAGCATTTAGGTCAGAGGGGCATATTTTAAATGTTCTTGAACCTCTCTTGTTGATACTTTAATAAAAAAATGATTAAAAACAGCCAATGTAAATCCTTTTGTATCTTAAGGGACAGACCTCTGCCAAATTTTTCTAATGTAATTAGAGAAACTGGAGATATTGTATCCCCTTCCTTTCCCCTAAAGATGGGTTTATAATGAAAACCCTAGTTACGTTATTAGTTCTCATCAATCTTAGCAGAGACATGGAGTCCAACAGTTCTGAGGTAAGTCAAACAAATTGTAAACTGCCATTTTAAGTTTTAAGGGTCATGTGGTCTATGCAGACATACTGGAGTGGCCAACTTTTCGAAAACACCATATTGGCAATCAGTGCAGTATGTACTAGGAAGAAGTGCTGTGTGAGAAACAAGAGATGGTGTTCTTTTCAGGAATGATACATGTACTCTCTTGAAATTAATGAAAACTGATTAGTAAACAAAATTTCTACTTGATCAGAAAGTAAAAGAGCTTCAAGACAAGTCAGCAAAATGACACTGGAAAATATCCATAGCACTACGCGACTTCCCAGTATAACTCACAGTGAAAGTACTTTAGGATTTGTTATGAAAAGTAGCTAGATTAGAGTTATGCTCATTTTTGAGACAGAATGGTCAGTAATGCCTATTTTGTCTTTTTCACAAGCGTTTCAGTGGTGATAAATCATAAATAAGAAAGTTTTGACCAACTATGAAATGATTTATAATGACAAGAACAATAATGATAAACAGTCCTAGATGTAACTCTATATTTTACTCCGTTTTTTAGAAGATTGAAAACTTCTCTGTCTTCTGGATAGTATCAGATTCTATGCTTACTTATATTTAAAAACTTTATATTTTCTTATTGGAAAATAATATTTACAGTTTAATAATTTAGTAGTTTTTTACATTTGGCTTGCCCAGACAGAAGAAAAGGGATGACTAAAAATAGAATTTCTGGGGACCATCAGGTGGCGGGGTGGTTAAGGCATTGGACTCCCACATAGTCAATTGTAGTTCAAGACCCAGACTTGGTGACTTGAAAATCAGGCCGGGTATGTGTGTGCATGTGCCTAAAATCCTGAGAAGAGAATGGAGAAGGGATTTCAGCATGGCCATCCCCTGGGGAGATTTTCCACTTTTCCTCTTCTGGTCTCTCTGGAGAGCATATGCACCCTATGGCAAAAATTTAAGAAAAAATAAAAAGATAGACTTTCTGGTCTACTTGCCTACTGGACAACACCTAGAGGGCTTTTCTAATGTGAACAGTGTATGATGATGACAAAGGTTTCTGGAGAA